TGAATGTTAATGTCAGGATTTTGCACCTGGTTGTGTGGCATCTCTATGACAGACCAAACAATGTGGCTACTGACTTGCTATTGATTTGTGTGCTCCCAGCTCTCTTTTCTCAACAAGATGTATGATAATCGTTAATTCCTGCCACTCCTTTACAAATCACTGTGCAGTGTGGACTGGATTCCAGGCCTTGTTAGATACAGCGCAGGTTTGAACAGTCACAGAGTAACCCGGCCAGAACCAGAGCCATGGCTGAATAGGATCAGGCACAGCCCCAGTGGGGATATATTGTGACAGTGTAGCAGTCCCTTGGAGAATACAGTTTGCAGGGAGGAAATCGCTGCAGCTGGAGCCCTGCCCTCATTCTGGCTCTGGCAGAGCAAGGCTGGACCGCAGCCAGCTGTGTCCCAGCCTGTCCTGCAGTAGTACAGGTGGCTGCACAGGACTGCAGGTGAAGTGTGGATGGGCTTGTGTCCCTTCTTCTCAAATAGGTGGGGTTTTTTTTTTGCCCTATCCAGTCATACAGTTCATATCCTTTATTTACCTTGCTCTGCTTGCAAAGCAGAAACGGAAAATGTTTAAATATTTCAAATGATTTCCGCATTTTCTGTGGGACTCCTGCTAATCCCTGCAAGCTGTCATGATTCAGTCTACTGGCATCAAACCCTCCTGAGTACTAAATGATACACTCAGTAACATGATTCATTCATGTGCTTTAGAAAAGAAACAATTCATCTCATTTTCTTTCAGTTCACTTCTTAAACATGAAAGATTGCAATTTTAACTGAGTTTAGAGATGGCTTTATTTTGTTCATGGCATTTTCTGTTTTTTCCTTTTTCCTTTTCCTCCTTCCCTCTCTCATTTCTTTCCCTTTAATTCCCCTGTCATCCCTCCTTCCTCACATTGTCAACAATGTGAGGATTGTCAATCAAATGTGCATCATATGCATACATTTTGTTTTGGAAATTTAAAATGTTTGATTTTATCACAGTATGTCACAAGTATATAGAGTGGATCAGTTTTATGTTTTTTTCTTTTAAGATTGGAATTGAAAATGAAAGACATAGTAATTGATTTTGCTCTGTCCTCCATAGTACTTTAAAAATATCTTCCTGGCAATTGTGATCTAAATCCGAAACCAAAATTACAAGTGACAGTTTCATACCCATGGACCCTAATCAGGTCTGTTCATTGCAAGAATTTCAAAGAGCTGTAAATTTAAGACTCTTGGTCAAGTTAAGCCAAAAGTGATTTTTATGTGTGTGTTGCTTTTTTATTCCTCGTGTTTCTTTCTTCCTTTTTTTTTTTCTTAAGCTGTATCTTTAGCACCACTGCTGCAACTGTGTCGCTCCACCATACTGAGCATGTTTTCATGCTGAGGCTGTTCAAGTAATATCAAGGAATCATAGAATCATAGAATGGCTTGGGTTGGAAGGGACCTTTAAGACAATCTGGTTCCAACCCCCTTACTGTAAGCAGGTACACTTGCCTCTAGACCCACTAGACCCAGGTTGCTCAAAGCCCCTTCCAGCCTGGCCTTGAATGCTTCCAAGGAGGGAGCATGCACAACCTCACTGGGCAACCTGTTCCAGTGTCTCACCACCCACACAGTAAAGAATTTCTTCTTGATATCTAGTCTAAATCTACCCTCTTCTAGTTTAAAGCCATCTCCCCTCATCCTTTTACTACCTGCCCTTCTAAACAGTCCCTTCTGGCTTTCCTGTAGGCCCCATTCAGGTACTGGAAGGCTGCTGTATGGTCTCTTTGGAGCATATTACTTGCTGTGTTAACTTCAAGAGCTTAAAGCTAAGCACATGTGTAACTACAGACCAAAGGGCTTCCATGAACACCAGCAAGATGAGTCCCAAGCTACTATCACAGCTAGCTAGAAGTTCATTTTTTCGGAATAAATAAATGGCATGTACAAAGTCTTAGGGCATTTTTTCCCCGTACATTTACTCTGTACAATTAATAGATTAGATTTCCAGCAACATTGATGAATATCCAACTCTTACCTGCAACAGCACCTGGGCCAGCACCTTAGGAGGAAGTTGCAGAAGACTCTCTAATGTCTGATTTTAAAATAATTTCATCCAGTGGAAGAATTTCTGCTCAGTTCTTTTTGTAACCAGGTAAAGTAAATTGTCATAATAAAGCTGAGCTCTAGATATGCTACTGTAGGTCAGAGAACACCTGTGGTTAACAAGACATGATTTTTTAAATGTTCATTATTTTATCTCCCTATCCTTAAAGAGAGTCTTACCTCCCAGTAATACTAGGCTTCCTGGTGAAGCAGCAGAAGGTATCATTATCTGTATCACTTTCTGATTTACAAAACCTTACTATTTCCTTCTTTTATTCTTTTCTCCTGTGTGTGCAGTACAGATCACTGAGATCTCTCTCCTGTGTGCCCCTATTAATGTATTGATTTGTCACTGTGTCTCCTGTGGTTCACCTAGATAGCTTGAAGGGTAGGTGACTAAAGCTGAGCATTATTCCAAAAGGATAATGCAGGATATTATCAGAAGCCATTCTATGCTGTGCATTATGCTATATTTAAGGTGTTACTCGGAGACTTCAGCTGGTTATATTTCTGTTTGGAAGACTCTAGTCTTTGTGCCCTGACAATTCCTTCTGTGTGCATTAATTTACATTTACCAATATGAGCAGTGAACATGAACTCTGTCCCTGATTTTACATTCAGGCTGTAATTTAGATTTGCTCAGTGTTTGATGTCTTTTTGACAGGAAAATGCATCAGAAGTCATGTACATCTTTGTTTGCATGACTAGTCACAGTCCTTACGTAACAAGGTATGAAAGTTGAGATCCAGATGCTTTTGCTTTTCTCATCTTCATGTGAAGTACTTAAGCTTTTTGAAAATTATGGCAGCCAGGAGAACCCAGGCTGCAGGAGGTATTGCTCAGCACTCTCTCTGCATTGCTGCAGAACAGAAAAGATGGAGCTGCAGATACAAGATTCCCTATACTTTTTTTTACACTCAAGAGATATTGCAGTACAAATGTATGAGTTGAGGTATCTCCCAGCTGGGTAATTGCTGCCAGCGTAGCTTTCTGGATTGCTGTATTGAACATGGGCGCTTACATTCTAAGTAAAACTCTTTTTAGTCTTCATTTTGCTCTCACCCAAAATCAATTAATTTGCAGCTCCACAGGGTTTGCTTCTTTAATCCAACCATGGCTCAATCATTGATGTAAAACAAGGTTTTTTTCTGCCCTCAGACTCTTTTCTAATGTCTTCCTATTTCTTGCCCTCTAAGTGCAAGCCTGAATTCTCATCTGTATCTATTTATAAGGGCTTCCCTGCTTCCGGGAGCGCTTAATCAAAGAGAAAGCTATCAGCAGGTGGTTAGCATCAAATGTCAGCAGCTTCTTTGTTCCTGATATCTCTTGGAAAAAAATGTTTCATTACCATGCAAATGATGTTAGTCCTCCTTTCCAAGATCCATTATCACACAGTGTAACATATGGTACACAGGACTGCGCTCCCAGGATTTATGTGGCAACTAAATTTCTTAGCAGAACAACAATTGTGAGAGCGAAGCCATCAGATGGCAATAATTACTGTTTCCCATTTCTCAGTGATCTGCTGAATATTTCTCTATCTGGTGGTAGCGACTAATAACTCATTGCGGGGGTGGGTGGACAATGTTATGTCTCCTTCCTTTTAAACTCTCCCATTTATCCTTCACTTGTATCAGAAATGTCACAACGCTCCTCGCAGGCTATACCAGACAGAATGGCTTGGCAGTTTTAACAATGTTGTTCTCTGTTGTGGGTATGTCTGGGAAGTGTGTTACTCACGTGTTACTTGGTGTGGCAATGTCTTGAACTGCACAAAGTCAGTTGAACCTGCTGCCTCTTCCTGGAAACCTTGGAAAGTGCAAATTATGTGTGGAAAGTGCCAATAATGGTGATAGGAATCCAACTTTTCCAAGAGCGCTGAAACCCTGTAAGTAGAATCAGATAAATGTAGGAGAGATTTGATTCATCAGAGCAGTGGAGTACACTTCCATGATTTCAGTGGTGCTTCAGGATGTATTTGGAGTTAAGCATATGTTTGGGTGGATTGTTAACTTCAAGTGTGTGATGGAGTGCTTTGCTGACTCAAGGACGAGACATTCCTTACAGCTTGTTGTTTTCCACATTGCCATCTGGGAGGAGGAAACTTGACAGGACGTGGGCTGTGTGAGACATTACTGCATTTCTGAAAGGGTATTAACAGACCTGAAGCTTCCAGATCCTCTGAATCAGGATTTTTGTCTCTACGGATTTGTTTGGGGTGGAACAACCTCAGCACAGTGTTTGAAAGCAAATTTACCGTGCCACAGCATTTGCTAGGTTATCAGTTAGTATATCCAAATTAAAATAATTTTATGTTTTAGTGAGAGTACCAGGGATGCACATGGTATAGATGGAAAGCCTCACAGACCCAGCAGGTTTCTGGGGCTGAATTTTTAGATATTTTAGGAATTCTGTTTTGCACACAGACAACTGTAAGAATTCACATTTGCAAACACTTTTAATTACAGAGTCATCTCTTCACTAAACTCATTTTCTGAGCTGGGAGAGCATATCCACATTTGTGTGAAATCAGTCTGTTTTCACAGTCTGTTAGACAGCTCACTCTCACTATCTCACTGCAGCCAGATAGCATAGAAGAAGAGGTAATATGGACCTACAATTGCACCTGTGGGAGAAGTGCAAGATATCTCAATTCGTCATTATTCTCCAGGTGCTTTTAACTTCCCAGAATACGGGATGGTCACCTGAAAAATGTCCAATACCATTTCTCCATCTGGTCAGCATCAACCCCTCCTTCTCTAATACTGTACCATCCCGTTCTGCCATGTAACACTCTTGACCTAAAAGCCTTTTCTGTGCTGCTTTGCATTTTTGATGAAAACTGATGGGAGAGTAAATGTTTATTGCTGCAAAATGCATTTCTTTGTGAGAACTCTTCTTTTCTTTATTCTTTTCCAGTGACAAAATGTTCCCAGCCTTCGGATTTGGAGCAAGAATACCCCCAGAATACAAAGTAGGTGAATAAGAGAAATTTTCTCGTTTTCTTCATCTATGGGGCATAAGATAAGGGAGAAGAGGGAGAAGTGCAGGTTGAGGGCTGGGGGAAGCGTGTTGTCTCTCACCTGGTTTTCTCATTAAGTGATACCTCACTGAAACCAGAAATCAAAATTAGAAGAGGTATGTTTTACCGAAAATATTTAATATTAACAAAACTTTGTTAATGGATGTTAGCCTGCTAAAGAGGACTGAATGTTTGAATAGTGCTCAACAACCATATTTTGAAGCTTTGTGGGCCTTGATTTGACAGAACTGATTTTTGTAGGAAGGAATTCAGTGAATGGCCTAGTGCCTTTGCTTTGTGGTTTAGAGACTGAATGTCTTCCTGGAAAAACAGACTTCAGAAGATTTTTGCTCGGTACCAAATTTCTGTTCAGTAGTGGACATCTTCAAAACCAGGAAGAAAAATAGAAGAGCATATTCATGCTAAAAAGAAGGATCATCCAACAGAAAAAAGGGCCAGGGAGAAATAGGCAGAAGTTCAAATCCTGTGTTGCACATGTAGGGACAGAATAGGCAGAATAGTGGTTCTGCACAAGTAAGTAACCGAAGACTGGCTGGGGGTTCTGCAACTCAGATACTGTCTGCAAAAAAAAAAAAAAGCAGAGCTGAAAGACGTATGTCTGGCTAGAAAGTGATTTCAGGGGTACTTTGTAACCAAATATCCCTACAATCACCATCACCAAAACTGATCTGATGCTTGGGAAGAGCTAGTGTAAGGATACATTTCCTCATAAATACTGTTAAGAAAGTGAGAGACTTGGACAATTTAGTTGCCCCAATCTGTGTACGCTGGTCTTGCATGATAACATGACCTGTCCTGACAAAGTCTGTGTATTACTGATCTTTTAGAGCAGGAAATCGGATGATTCAGGATCTTTCCATTTTGCGAAGTTTGTAAAACGCAGTGGTAAACTTAAGATGGAACTACTTGCTTGAGAATTACTTGCATGTGAGTAAACAAGTCCAAAAGTATGTGGAGATACAACTGAGGGTGAGAATAACATCTTTAGTCTCCACTGTGAAAAATTGTCACAGAAAATGATAAAAAAGTGTTAAGACAATCAGCTTACTAATGTAATGAAACTTTGAAGAAGAGAAGAACCACATTGCAGAGGGATTAGCCTTTCTGATGGGGATAAGTAATTAACTGGGTGTCTATCAGGGGCACATCCAACAGGAACTGGATTAGGAATTAGCAGTCATTTGTGCTACTGTTCAGTCCCTCCCTGTAACATGCTGCATAGTCCATCCAAATATCTGCATTCTTACATAAACCGTAACCTTTAGACCTTTAGAGTCCTTGCTTGGCTTTGGCTGCACTTCTGAATTGAAAGATTTGCTTTCTAAGAGACTGAGGAGTCCACCGCAAAATGATGTGTTAATGAGTCAAGACCAATAATCCTGAAGATCCTTCAGTAATTTAGTCTACACTGGTATCATAAATTTAATTTAAAGCCAACAACGATTAGTGTTTTACATGGAATACAGCCAAGATGCATAGGAAACAGTGAAGAAATGGTTATAATTGAAAGTAACAAAGAGGAAACAAGTGTGCTCACACCTTGTTTATTGAAAGTTCTCTTCTCCTGCAAAAATACGGTAACACTAAAGACACCATGGCAGTAGTGTGGATCTCAGACTATTCAAATATTCTTTTGGTACTTGTGGTCAAAATTAACTCAAGTCATACATATATTAAAGGACAGCAGTGTCAGAACTGTGGTAAATCACATCTTCAAATCTAGATTGAGTCATCATGAGAAGGTCTAAATGTTGTCTCCATCATGTGGATAAATCTGCTTTTCATTTTAATTTAGAATGCAGTTGAGCCTCCAATCCTAATTAGATAATCTAACCTGCCTATAGCACATTGGTCTCTGCACACCAGCAGCTGCTATCTTTTATTTCTTTTGGTAGATGACAAGTTGCTAGGCCTGTGGAAGAAATGACTCCCACTACCAAGGGTTTCTAAGTAACCATGAGAGCCTCCATACAGCGGTAAAAGTAAGACAAAGCAGCTTCCATAAAAGTCAGCTAAATGAAAGCTGACCAATCTATGCGTGGCAATAACAGTAATGGGAGGCCAGAGGAAGGCAGCCTGATAAAAACAGTGACCAAAGTGGACACAGTGGATTCAGACCTAATTTACATCATGCTCAGTTACAAGCTGTAGGAAAATGGGGACTGTAACTCACTATTCAGCATAAACCGAAGGTAATGAGTCTCCACTGTGCTGTTTAGGACCAGCTGAAGGCCACTACTTTCAGGATGGGCATAAGCTCTGCATTTTTTTGGCAAGGTTTCTTGGGTGCACTGGATCATGTGGGAAACAGGTGTCATTTTGTGATGTTATGTCAAACCAGTGCCTCCATTTCATACTCTCTTAGGTTGCTTCCATTAGCTTGGGATGGATGCTGGAGGGTAGCATCCACCTGTCCATTTAGTAAGATTCCAGCTCCTCGCATCCTTTTAAATGTTACAATAAGTGCAATGTTTACTATGCCAAGCATTGTTTCCCATAGAAAAATACACCTCTCTTTACATTAGCACTTCAGAACAGCGACAGCATTCATCTTTGCTGGCTTCTCACGAATCTCCTCAGGGTGAACCTCTTTAAAAATATATTTTATATATTTTTTCTGCAGAATTTCTATTTCAAGAGCACACTGTTATGTTACAATGATTTTATTTTCCCTCATTTCAGCTCCAAATGAAACGTATCAGCTGTTAGCAGAAAAAAACAGCAGTTTCTTAGTGGCGTAAGGAATCTGTGGTAGTGAGGAAGCAAAACATGCCATATAAAACATTCCTCATCAGTCTAGAGGTACTTCATCTAGTATTCAGTAATATGATCTTTTTTCCCCAAGACCTGACAATTACACCTGCATTTCAGAGAGCAAAAATATGTGCAAAACTTTTTTAAAAAAGATAGATTGTAAAAGGATGTGTAACAGACCAATGGAAAAAAACAGGATTTGTCACCCTCACATTGAGACCTGGATTTAGGCGTGGAAGATGAACAGTCATGTACAAAAGGAATAAATGGGCAAGCATTGCCAAGCAGAAATGTCTACACTGTGATCTTAGCCAGAGACACAAGCTGTCCAGCTACCAAACTACTTAATTAATGAAGATTGAGAAAATAATAGCTTCTGAGCAGTAGTTCTTTAAATCAGTTAGTGTCTTAAGCTTTTGCAAAATATGCAGACATTCAGTATTTAATTTGAGGACTTGTAGTGCCTTAATTGTTTTCAATTTACTCACAGGTAAGTGTTCAACATTGTGCCTCTCAGCATTTATGCTTTTGTGCATATCTATCTGTTCGTAGATTTTTTACTGTCTTTATTTGAATGAATAAGAAGGAGTTTCTAAACATGACTGGATTTGTCACTTGTTTGTCACGTAGTCGCAGTATCATCACTGTAGAGGTTTCTGCAAAGTTTGAACTCCCTGGGACAGGAGGCAAATTTAAATGAGCTTAACAACCTCCAGGAAAAAAAAATAAAAGAAAAAAAGATTGCTAATTTTTAAAAGAATTGAGGAATCCAATTTCAGCATTTGCAAAATGAATGAAAAACATCTGTTTTCTAAGTCAAAACAGCTTGTTGCATCAAATATGGAAGTTCAGACAGAGTAAAAATGGATTTAAGAAAATGTGGAGGCTAAAATCGGACAACACATTTTGATTCAACTTAAAATGTCTTTGTATAAGGCAGTTTGCCTTCCAACTTTCATGGTTGTTTTATTTGGCAGATTCCAAGGTAGGGGTTTTTTGGGTATTTTGAGATTGATTTGTGAAAGTGAATTTCATTAATCTCAGATTAAGGAAATAAGTTTCTAGCTGTTAAATCTAGATGACTTTTCTACTGAAATTCTCTTACATGTGTGGAAGTATGTTTATGACTCTTGCAAGATACCATCTCATGGACACCGTCATGCTACTTGACAGCTGCCTTTCTGTGTGCTTGTCTTTACATGTGTACAGGCAATGGAAGCATTGTATGGTGGTAAAAACAAACTGTACTACAATGTGCATCGGCAAAAATATTTTAGACTGCTTATGTAGTTGATGTATCCACAGAAGTGCTGTTGTTGTAATGGACTTGATGGTGTACTTACAGATCCCTAGAGCTACTCTGCATATTTCTCTTGTTAAAAACCTTGAAGGAATTACCTGAGAAAAAAAAAATTGTGCCTGGTACAGGAAGTTCCTGGAAAGCTGTGTTTTAATAATCCCATCTCTATGAGCTGTCTGCTAAATAATTTATCTGGAGTCCTGTAGAGAGAACAGATTAATACACAGCCAAGTGTAAGTAGGTTCCTTAGTTGGAGGCTTTGAGCGGTGCTCTGTGCTGCATGATAATGCCAGGCTTAATCACCTCTGCAGTCCTCAGTTTTTCTCTCCATTCCTTTTATGGATTGGTTTTAAGAGAGCAGGAGGGCTGAGCAGAGGGGTCAGCTAATTATTTGAAACTTAATCCAGGATGTGTGAACACAATCTCAGTTCTACATGGACTTTCCTTATTGTGGGGCCGAATTTCACTGCAAACAAGGCCTGCAATTCTTTGCAAATTTCTCTGTTCCATATAATGACATAAAGCAATAATTCTATGCTTGTATGATGTGAGGTATTCCAGAATTTCCTGACTCTTAACTTGACCATCATACAAATGACATTAATAGATTATATATAAGCAAGCCTGCTTCTGAACAGCCAGGTGTCTTGTTATGTTTCCCCTAAGGATATCCCAGTCTTCAACATCTTTGATGTTCACTCTTTTTCCTCCTTTTCTCCATTAGCATATCAGTTCTAGGAGTGCATAAGGACTGTATCATTCAGTGTCAGAAAGATGCCATTTATTATACTGGCTTTGGGCCATCTGACATCACTATGGTTTGCCTTTCATCCTCAGAAGCCTTGCATGCTTAACTGAATTTTAAAAAAGAAGGAGAATGAGTTCTGGACATACGGAGAAACTGCTTTAAAAAGATCTGCTATTGGTTGGCATTGAGCAATGATTTCCTGTTTGTGAACCATCCCTGAGCTGCCTAATGAATTTCTCTCCTTCACGTTATTCTTATATCTTGTTTACATTCTGATATATCTCTAAGAAAGCATAGAAAACAACCATATGCTTCTTTAGTCATTGTGTTTCTTGTCCTGCCTTCAGGGTAAATTGTAATACTGGTCTTGGTGAATGAGGATGACAGTGTATGAGGTTCACTAGCTGTAGGAGAATAGCAGCCATTGCTCAGACAGTATTATTTCTTGGAACACTTTGCACACTTTCTAGACTAATGCTTTCTTATTGGCCTAAACTGTTGCCTGTTCTTAAATAATAGGCTGAGTGCCATAGCTATGAACCAGATAAATTGTTTGTATTGTGTGATCCTGAAACTGTATAGCAACAAAAACGTCTAGCCCATGCTTGCATAGTGTGAATTAAATAATGTATTTATAGCTCTGGAAAAGAACTGTGGTGTTTCTTGTCCTGTAATTTGAAATGCATTAAGAATAAAGAAATAAAATCTCTGAAGAGGCACAGCATTGGAAGGATAAGCCTGCAATATATGTACGTGCATCACTTGCTATTGAAATGCAGGTAGTATAAAGTACAGAAAGCCTAAAGGAAAAGGAAGGCAATTGAACAACAGAAAAATCATCTGTGAGTGAAAACTCACATAGCCATTCTTGACAGCTGCAATTACCTTTGGCCTGCAGCTGGTCATGAGACTGGCAGATACCAGCTGGGCAAGTTGTGCTAGGAGACATACAAGAGCAAGCCAGACAGAAATGCTCTGGAGCACCTCTGAAGCGTATCTGACAGCCCTGCTCTCCTGTGCCTTCTTAGTGAGAAGCATGCATAGTGGCTCTCTGCATTATCTTCTATGGCCAAGAAGCCTGAATGGCCCATTTAAAACCCTTTGAATGAGACAGCTGATGCTCGTTGTAGACATAATACATTCCTGGCTAGGGCTGAGCTGGCTGAATGCTCTTCAGTGAGTTCATGCTTTAGTCCTTGAATTTTCTCCCATCGTAGTAGAGGTCACACTTCATTTAACCTTTTAATAAATAATGGTGAGCATCATCATGGTGAGCAAGACCAGCATATAATAGGAAAAATGTGCAGGACAAATATTTCAGTGATGACAAAGCTTCTGCTTAGTTCCAGCTAGAGAGACATTTGACATTGCACACTGGAGAAGATAAGACTGATTTAAGTTAGCTGGATCTAAGGAATCCTGTGAGACAAAATAAGAAGGACTGGGTACAATTGATGTGTAACCTCTATTCACTGACCATTTTCTGTGCTATCTGTAGCGTATAAATGGAAGTCATCTAAACTAGGAGGTAAAACAGTGGCATCCAACAAATAAATCTTCCTGCAAATAATCCATGTCCCATTGCACAGGAAGTAAACAGGTTGCTTTTCGTATGCCTAAGAGTGCTGGCACTTCCAAATGTCCTACAGATATCTAAAAGTCTTAAAGATATGTAATTGTGTTAGACATATAAATGTTCCCTTTACTCTGCAGTGGTATACCTGAGCTCAAATTAGAAATTGCCTGCTTACATCTCAGCCATGTGCATTTTTTGCAAACCAAAATATGTATCAATATGTTGTATATCAAAACAGAAATTGGACTTCATTCCAGACAATTGAAGGAGAATTCTGAGTCTGAGCTGAAGAGATGGTGAGAAATCGAGCCTCAGACATCAAGGAATGGTGCAAAAAGGAATCTGGGGAGCAAATCAGACAAGAGCAAACGAGAAAATTAGAAAAGAGCATCTGAGGAAAATTTCAGACCCAGTACATTTGTGCTGTGGTTGCAGATCTCTAATTGACAGACATTTAAGAAGCCTGGAAACTGAAACTTACGCTGTCTTCCATTATTTATGCATTCAGAAGTCTTGTATTATTTTCCCAAACCACTAAAGATAACAATATACTGTTTTCTTAGAAAATCAGCAACATTTTTGTATTCGTAGTGATGTATCTTAGAAAATAGCTCGGTGGTATTTCATTACAGACATATTTGAAGAGTGAGAAAGTGGGATATTTACTAACCTTGAGGGAAAACTTTTTCCTTATTTTCCTGATTTCTCCTCCAACTACTCTAATTTCGTAACCAACTTAGACTTCTTGCATTTCTTACATTATTATCTCACAGTGGTTCCAAGGGACTTCTTTGATCTCTTGGAGAATAAATTATTTTCTCAATAAGCCTGTGGCCTTCAAATGAGAAACTGTTCACATGTGGAAGATTCAGAACAGGGCAGAGCATGTGCCTTCTTTAGCTCTCCTGTGATCTGTACACTAAGAAGTAAGAGAGCTTGCATTTACATCCCACCTCAGCAACGGGTCCCTCTTCTGTCGCTGCCATTGGTAGCCCAGTGCTGATGCCGTATTAATGTGATTTCTCATGTGCTTGGGTGTTTTTTCTTTGTGTTCTTTTTTACTGTTTTTTATTGTTATTTTCAAGTTTGATTCCAGTTGTGGTACTTTGTTTTCACATGGAGTTTCATCTGGGACTGTATTTCAGACTTTACGCTAAAAGCTTGAAAGATCTCTGGTTTAATGCAGAAAGAATGTAAAGGGTGTTTAATTCTGAGTTCTCTTTGAATAATTTTTCCAACTACAGTTTTCTCTTCTTTCCATTTATCTGCAGGTCTCCCATGATTTTGCAATCAATTTCAATGAAGACAACCCAGAATGTGCAGGTAACACATCAGGACAAACTTACTGCTGTATTTCTGCTGTGACAAAATCTGCTTCTATTTTTTATTGTATCCCCTGAACACTTTTCAAAGTGTTTCTTAAAGAAAGCAGTTCTGAAACCTAACAGATTTAAAAAGCCTTAGCAAGTGCCACACATTAATGGCCTAAAAGATAGGTCCCATTGAAAGTACACAGTGTTGGATGCTTAGCACTGCACATCCCTGAATCTCTACACGTTGGTGAAAACTAAAGCCATGTTTTCTGTGTTCCTTTTGGATCTACAGCAGCACAGTTTGTGCAGCATTAGAGGAGCAAGATCTGAAAGGCAAGGCATGCTGTGCACCTCTGTAGTCGGACTCCCTCTGTTTACTGCCAGTTGTTTGGCAAGACCTGTAGCAACAGTAAGCTACTGCAAGTCAGCCCAGCACCAGAGTCAGAGCAGCAGCTGAGGATGAGTGTGAGAGAAGGAAGCATGGTTTCATGACAGCAAATGCAGCAGACAACTGTTTTAACACAGCATAGGTGATTGGTGTGTTCTAGCAGTAATCACTAATCTTCAGTAGTCAGAGGGTAGATTAGTGTAGCAGATTTTGCTGTACATCATATGTTTTCACATATGAGGTCTGTGGATATTGATGCTGTCTGTAGAACCTCCTGCCACAATACTCACCATTTATAAAAGGTGAGGATAACAGGAAAAAATAAGTCATATTAGACGTAGACATGTTTGAAAGTCTTGGTCAGATGATCATTGCTGTCTAAAATGCACAAGTTTTTTGTTCTCCCTTATTCTTTGCTGCCTTCAAAACACTAAAACAGGTATTTCAAAATGCACTTCTCATTCAAATTTTTTAGCTGTTCCTTTCAATCCTTCTAAGACTTATTAGTGGCTTTCTTTCTGGCATGGTCTGCAGAATATGTTCGGGATGAAGATTAAGATGCCAGGGAATAAAGTGAGGAAAAGAAGAGAGGTTAAGCAGTTTGACAAAAAATAATAATAAAAAAAGACATCATTAAAAATGTTCAGATTTCATGCATCTTAAATGAAAGAGCTGTCTTTTTGGTGCAGTAGGCATTCCAGCTTTGGCAGCACACTTGAATTTTTGGCCTACTCCAGCTTCAGTAGGTGAGGTGCTTGAAAAGTATTTGGGCATTTTTATGCGCACTCCACCTCCTTTTTGCCTCCGTTGAGTCCAAGGCTAATACTTCCATCATGCTGACATTGCTATACAGTTACGTGCATTGACTGAATGATGTTTATAGTATTTGAAAAGGCTGTCACACCTATGTGCTAACAGCAAGTCAGAGATTGGACAGCCAAACCTTCAGTTAAAGAAGTTACTATTCATTCTATGTGTAGAAAAGGAAATGCAGCAGTGAAAATGAGAGAAGATTAAAAAAAGGAAGAAGCTGCTCAATGATCTTCGCCCAAGCTTTATGTAACTTACTGTTTGTTGTGTATTCAGTTGTTATGTGTGCTTTGAATAAGAGTCAGCTGAGAAGTTAATCCATCATCTAAAAGTTGTAGAGCTAAGAAGCTGCAACCGGTTGGTCACAGCATGGAGGAAGGCCAGGGAGGGAAGTTTAGAGCATTTGTACACACATCTACAAGATATAAAAGGCTCTTCTGTGTACCATTTAAAATAATGTCCATCTGGATGAAAGCAAGAAAACAAGACAGACCAGAAAACATGTTGTTTAATCATCTGCTGCAGCTTGCTTATCATCTGCCTGTAATGAATGCTTGATCGGTTCCCACAGCCAATTGTTCTGTGGCGTTTCTGACTTCTGTAGATGCCCACACTGCATTAGGTGGCACAGGCTGCAGTAACACCAACCTGTCATGTGAGGAGAAGATACTCTTTGGCCTGAGAGTGAGAGGGAGATAAAATGCTTAATCACCACACTATTTTACCTTGTAATATTTAGCATACTTGCCACAAAAACACAGGAAAATTACTGAATAATATTTTACTTTAAACCAAGAAGCAGAGACTGGAACCAATGTAAAGAGTATGTGTCTGCTTTGCTCTTGAGGAATGAAATCCCTTTCTTGTGGAAGTAGTGATCTTTTACTGACACGTAAGAGGTTTACGCATCACTCTACACTGAATAGGGATTGTGCTAAAATGTCAACTCTTTAATGAGCAGAGGAATGATTAACATACGGATCGAGTGTTTCTTATTTCAGTAAATCCCTCATATCCTACCTAACTGAAAAAAAAAAGTATATTTTTAATTCTAGATGAGAGGAATTCTTTCCTGAGATTCAGTTCACCAATCCCCTGGGGGACCTCAACGGGCTTAAGAGCCACATTTGTACAAATCTCCAGAAGCCCAACTGCCAGGCCCTACATCTGGGTTGGAGCAAACCCAGACACAAATGCAGTAAGGGCAGAGAATAGATGAGAGCAGGCGTGGGGAGAAGGTCTTGGGAGTGTTAGTGGGTGAGAAGCTCAACATGAGCCAACAGCGCACGCTTGCAGTCCAGAAAGCCAACTGGATCCTGGGCTTACTCAAAAGCGGCGTGATCAACATGGTTAAGGAGGTGGATTTTGTAACCCCCAACAAACCCATCTAATGTCTGTAGAGATAAGGCTAGTGCAGTAGGCCCATACAAGCTGCAATAACAATTTGGACTCATTTGTAGATATACCTGTACATTCAAAAGAAATGCGTATTTTCAGTTTTCTTGCTTGTAAATATTTGATATAAAGATCAATGGAATGCATAAAATACAGATATTTGCACATTTTTCCCCTATTACCATTTCTATTCTCAAAAAAATAGTGTTTATAGTTTTATGTTTAGTTTATTTATTCTATTTATAGTATATAGTCTTATAGTTAGTATTTACTTATTTACATATAATCTTATATCTTATAGTCTTTATTTTTTGAGGAAGAAAATGACAGCATCTAATCTGAATCAATGTTTCTACGCGCCCATGCATTCTTCTACACACATATGTGCACATGCTTACACTGTATGTCATTAGAACTATTGAACATGGATTCTGAGTACAAAAGTAAAGGGATAAATTGTGAAGAAACATACAGTATTGGATTTGCCTAAAATGAAAGGGTCCAAGAAAAGTAAGCCACAAGGTAAACCACTCTCATATCCTTTTGGATTCAGATATAGGAGGAAGGCAGATACTTCTGAAAGATACTGAACCTAGACTACATATAAAGTATGTGTTTCTAGAACATGTTAATTTCTAGGATGAAAACAACCTCCTGACATGAACCACGCTAGATCTATTTGGACTACAGGGGACAAGCTTTATCTCATACTATTTTAATGTAAAAATTAAAATCACATTGTAACTTGCCAGCATCTTAGAGAAAATTTATGAGGCCTTTGTGCAAGACCTGTAAGTATATATAATGAAAACTTAGTGATGTTAAAATTGGGAGTTAACAAAGGACCCATTTTGCAATATGGTTTAGTCACTGGAATTACCAAAGGAAATTTTGTACCTTTACTCTAATTTTAAACAATCGTAACTATAATTGGAGAGTTTTCTTTTATCTGTGAGCATTGCAATGGAATAATGTGTTTGTAACTATCTACAAAGAGAGAAGACCATATTCCTAATCATTTCATCATAGGAGGTTCAGGTGAATCATTGCTAAGTTATTGCAGCTCTCTTTGATTTGTTAGTAAAGGATCCACACTCCTATATCCTGCAAACATGGCTGAGTAAAATCTCATGAGTGAGGCAGTCTTGATGCAAACTGCAACTGGCTCAGGAGCTCACCGAAGCCATTTCTTTCTTCAGCTCCCTTTACAGAATCACAGAATCACAGAGTCACCCGGGTTGGAAGGGACCTCAAGGATCATTTAGTTCCAACCCCCCTGCCTGGCAGGGCCACCAAACATACACATTTAGATCAGGTTGCCCAGGACCCCGTCCAACCTGGCCTTGAACACGTCCAAGGACGGGTTTACACAGCTCTTCAGTCTGTCATTTTCTTTCCAACTTCAGACCTCTAATCCTCTAGGTCTGTTAAGCTGGGATCCTGTCTGTGGAGGCTAACGTGCATCACTTCAAGAAATGCTTCTTCTCAATGATTGAAAACTCCAATTCTTATTCTGTGATCTGTCAAGTGTGTCAGCAGAAGTCTGTTCGCCTTGGTCTGGCTATATATCCTGAAATGAAAAAGCCATAAATAGCTGGTTCTCCATCAAAACTTACTGACTAAAGCTCATTTTTCTTAGACTGGAAAGCATCCTTCTATTTATTCCAAGATTTCACAGTTTTTGGTCACAGCTGAATTCAACCTGTGAGTAATTATGCAAATTCACCCTGAAAAAGTGTTTTTCTAGCACAAGGGAGTTAGGTATTTGCAAAGATGTTTAAGTTCCTTGACAGCTCTAGATTGTGAGTGCAAAGGGTAAGTTTGTTGGTAACTACCATGATAAGCAGAAATAAATATCTACCTGAAGACAAGGAAAGAGAAGCGTTGAAAGGCTTTTAATTTGTGCCTACCCTTTTAGCATGAATGTTAGCTGGTGATCAGCAAGTAATCACTTACACCTTGAAATGAGAAGAACGAAACCCATGGCATTGCAAGCTAATACCTGGGAAATGGGCATTGAGCACTGCTGGGAAGAAGCATGGTAATGAATTACCTATTACAAACTAGGTTCAAGGCAGCTAGAGGCAGCTTCTCAGAAATTATCTCAAATTGTTAGTGCCTACTAACTGTGTGACATTTTGAATTTACTCATTAAGAACCTGCCTTTTATTTACACTTTAAACAAGCACGATATTGGTTATGTGCTCACATTTGCTTTTCCTACCAGGAATACAAGGTGTTGTGGAGGCTTATCAGAGCTGCCTTCCAAAGCTGCAGCTCTACGGGCCAACAAACATTGCTCCCATTATCCAGAAGGTGGCAAAATCAGCTTCAGAGGAGACCAACACCAAGGAAGCCTCGGTAAGGGCATGATGCTTTGTTCTTGCACTGTCTTGTAGGCCAACACAACAAGATCTTTCAGTGTATATTAATAATGCCTTACCAGCTTTTACCAACTACGTGCACAGAAGTCACTTTCAGTCTGTGGCAGCTGGAGCAGTGTATCTAACCTTTACATCTTTGGTAGTCATGATTCCAATTCTTACCCCACTGTTCTGTTTCCAGTAACACACTCATGTCTTCACAGAGGAGATATAAATGGCAGGACTAGGGTTACAAAAATGCAGCCCTAACTTTCATTATGCAAGTAGATGAGTTCAGATGTTTCTCCACACAGACTACCTATTTTCAAGTATCTTGCAGAGACTGTACTGGAACTTTCTATTTTTGTCAGCTAGGTGTTTTGTTATGTTTTTTTCCCAACCATTCCTCTGCTACAGTAATAGTTTTCATTTTACTATTACGGACATGTAGTACTATGTGCCCTTTGGAAATAAGGAGACAAGTCTGTTAGCCTGCATCTGATAGATTCATGACAGATTTATTGGGCTGTAAGACTTAAACATGGATGGTGTGTAACATATCTCTACAAAATGGTTTAGGCTTACTTTTTTTCCTGTTTTTCAGACAGAATGGGAGAAAGTGAGATTAAGAGAACAAGAGAAAGTGTGTGAGAAAGTAGGTTTGAAACATCTACAAATGTAAAGCAGTGCTGTGGGAGTCAGGGATGTAACAGATAACTCAAATACTGCAGCAGAAAAATGCTCATGTATAGGAACAGAACAGAGATGCACATTGACATGCATCCCATTACCAGTTTGGAGCTTTCCCTCAGCCTCTCGTTAAGGCAGAATTTCCCAAACATTTCTTTTCATGACTCTGGGCTCATGATTGCCACTTCATTACAATTTGCAGTGTATTGATACTATTTAGAATCAGTCCTACAGTAGTGAATTGCTGTATTTGAATTTCCATACCCAGCTAATCTCGAGGTGGCTCATCCTGTTCCCACTGTTGTCTCTGAGCTATTATGTAGCATTTAATAGATTGCTTCATTTTTCTAAACCTAAGCTTCCCCGCTTTCTGTTTGCTTGAACATCAAATTAACTTGTAGCATGATTCTTCAAGATGAAGTTACCTCTCTGTGTATTTTGTTTTACTCGTGGTGGGAGGTGATGAACAGAAGTCTGTGTGAGTTTACATAGCTGTATATAAATAAACTGTAATGATGTTTTCTGTTGGTACTGCTTGTGCAGAGTGACCAAATTCTATGACCTGTTCAATTCTCTTATTAATGCACATTTGTTAAATGGCTCCAGCTGCCTAGCTATTCATAAAAGGCCCATGTGAGAGCTGCTTTTTCCCATTACCAACTGAAGATGTAATAGCCTATTTGATCCCAGTCCAGAGAGCCCTGGACTATTGGGAAAGAAATGACAAGCACAGAAAATTGCTTGCTCTCCTTTAGAGAATGAGTAAACCTAACAGCTGCATGTAAAGTGTTTGAAATGGATATTTTCCTTTTCTGCACATGCCCTGCCTCTTCTTAGGGACATCATCGCTCTGCAGAATACAGCAGACCTGCCATGGTGGGGTGCTTCTCCCACAGGTACCATTGGGTCACCCTGCAATTTGCAGATGGCTGCACCCATCCCACTTGCCTGGTAGCAAACCTCCTCTGCAAAGTGCTGTCATAACATCCCTGACACCTCTGCTACAAGCTCGTAATGCTTCAGTACCCCATTCCTTTCTGCCTCCCACTGGTTCCCAAGGGGAAGAAAATAATCAGAAACTGTCAGCAAAAGTGACTGTGCAGCAGATGGAAAATAAGGCTGGTGAGGATATCAGGACTCTTCCAGACTTCCCAGCCAAAGTCCTACTCTCTCTGCCCTAGCAGCTAGAACCCCTCTTTCCTTCACTGTGCATCCTTTGGCTCCCTCCAGGTCCAGGAAGTGATGTAAACTACAGCCAAGCTGCAGCAGAAGGAAAGTTAGCAACTGATGAGGTTTGGATGGGAAATGCACTTAACATTTGCATCATTATAATGGCTCTTTTCTCTTTTAAAAATCTGTGATTGACAGTTGTCAGAAAGAATTTTATACAGAAAAAAAAAAAGGCTTTGAAAGATGAACTAATGGTTTTTACTTCTTATCCAACAACTTCAGCAATATTTCATCTTGCTCATTCTAACGGATGGCGTCATCACAGACATGGCTGACACCAGGGAGGCCATTGTCCATGCCTCTCACCTTCCCATGTCAGTCATCATCGTCGGGGTGGGAAACGCCGATTTTAGTGACATGCAGATGCTGGATGGCGATGATGGGATCCTGAGATCTCCCAAGGGCGAGCCTGTGCTTCGAGACATTGTCCAGTTTGTGCCATTTAGGAACTTCAAACATGTAAGCTGACTTTTCCATCCATTCCGCTGAAGAGTGAATGTATAAACATGTAGTGTAGTCCCTGGGGCTAGGCTTAACATTGGTTGAAAAACGGTATATAAAGTATACAGTGTGTCAGTGGCATTATTATGTCAGAAATGAAATCAAAACAAATAAAAACAAATGCATAATGAAATGTTCTTCATGAGTGACATAGTTGGGAAAGAAGAGATAAGAAAATCCTTGTGCTTCTTGTGGTGCCCATCCTGATGTCCACTTCCTCTCTGATTTTAGTTTGCTTTTTCTTCCTGTCTTATTTTCCCTGAAATCTTCTTTCCATTCTGTTTTCATGCATTCTGTTAGGGCTGTTGTTTTGCATTCCCATATATGTACGCTGTCCCTTCACTTCCACAGAGAAATGAAACAGCCGCAGATTTGCACTCAGTGGTTTCCCCCAGGAGGCTGCTTACTTATTGACATTCAGATCCCTGAATTCTCAAAGTCAGAACAATCCACCCAGAGCATCCTGGTTGTCTGCAAACCTTTCCTCTAGTTCTGTACAAGAGCACAGCCAAGAAAGTGCTGCTACTAAGAGTTCCCTGTGCCTTCAGCCAGCTGTTCCCATGAAGCGCAGTGCGGTACAGGAGACACACTGGAGGAGGAGAGGTGACAGACCCAGCGCTGACTTGCCAAATTTGAAGTAATCCCTTGGCCATGTACTTTCCTCCTCAGTCACCTGTCGACATTGCAGCATCTGTCCCAGGGACATTTTCAGCACCTGAGTAGAGGCAGTGTTCACTCCAAGGGACAGTTCTTTCAGGGTCCTTTTCTCTATATGGAGGCAGGAATAGACATGGAATAGACACGGTTCATCAGTGATGCCAATTCCATTCTTTTCCCCCCTGTTTTTCCATCTTTCTCTACCCTCCTCCCCTCATTCCTTCTGTGATATTTAATCATTTTTCCTTACTACTTTTTCCTCGCCTTAGTCTAGAAGGATATCCTTGGTATTAAATTAGAGAATTCGTTTACCCTACAGTGTACCTGTTTCTCTTTCATCATGAAAGAGCCCTTCTCAAGCTGCTCTCATTCTCTTAGTTCTGGATTTGTCACACATAGGTTTTCAGTTCTGGGTTGGTTTTGGTCTGCATATGGATTTACACTGTTTACATTTCTTTAGTTTTTCTGGTCTTTTTGTTACTCCCCAAATACCTTCATTTTTATTATTCTTTTCTTCAGAGTTGTTCCTTTTTCTCTCTTCAAAATAAACTGTTGCCATGTTTCTCACGGGTGTGGACACCCTTCTTACTTTCACTAAATCCACTGACAAATAAGTGAAAGACTTGTTCCCTTTTTCCCTTTACCATTATGTAAAGAGTGTATCCTTGTATGATGACAAACCTCACTTTGTGCTATTAGGCCACGCTAAATGGTGGCAGGTTTGCCTCTGAATTGTAGAGACGTACATTTTGTGTTGACAGCTCTGCTCAGCCACCTATTAAGTATCTGCTGGAACAAAGTATGAGCACGACCTGCTCACAGTTCACAGTTCTCCTTCATCAGATAATCACAAGTGTGTGGTACTGTACCAGTCTGTTGTGAAAGTGTCAAGAGGCAAGTTATTTATGGACTGGTGCTAGACCTGCTTTCAATTAAAAAATGTTTCTGCAAGGAACTGGCAAATCCAGCTGCATTTGTTAAATTTAGTTTCACTTTGTGTCTTTATAACAAAGTTGAAATCACCCTTGATTGGATAGATTAACGCTGACGGTTGCAGCTCATCTTGGGCGCTGAATATTTTGTGCCTTATGTTCACTTTTGAGTGATTCTAAATGTTATTTTAATTGCAAGCATTGATCAAATGGCGAGTGTATCTTATTTTGAGCTGTTGTAGATTAACTACCCCAGTATTGGGAAAGGACAGCGATCTTAAAAAATCATCGCTCTCGTTAAATAGAGATATTTTTCTCCCCCTTTCTCTCAGTAATGGGGATAATATAGCTTTAGAGATAGATAATGTGTTTGCTATATCACAAATGCCAATATATCTTATACAACTTGATATTTAATCTGTGTATCATGATCTTTCAGCATTTCAACAAATGTCAGTGTAATGGATGAGTGCCCATAACAACAGCCACTACTGCTTGAATTTCTTTGTTGTGAAAGCACCCCAGATAATATCTCCCTGGACAAACTGATATTCACAGCCATCTTTCTTACTTACCCTCAGCATGAACAAAAGGCCATGCCTGTTCCATCAACTAGTGGAATAATTTATGATAATAGAAATGACTGTGATGTTTTGAATATTTTTTTTCCCACAGCAAATGCAGATTTAACCCAAAATGGGGTTTGTCAGATCACTTCTGATCACATACAAGAATTACTGTGAATCAACATATTACATTTTACAGCTTTAGGGAAAAGATGTGTTTGATTAAAAATCTCATCCCTTTTGTCAGTTTTTGTCTTTTTTTTTTTTTTTTAACCTTGTGTTTAGTTCTGCTACTTTGTATGTTCAACTCTTAAGTAGGGAAAAGAGAAAGTGAACGATTTCATTAGAAAGACTACATATCAAGTTTTATAAGGTTTGTAGATTTTTCCACTAAGTCATTTATTTATGCCTGAATCCATATTGCCTGTACTGCTGATGGAAGGAGGGATGTTATGGGATGTTATTTGTGAGCAATTATTTTTGTTGTGATAGAATAGTAAACCCAAACTCATTTTGAGTCAGACTAAACAATATTTTTTTCATTGCTTCAATTCTCAGGTCAGCCTGCAACTCAGAATCTCATATCTATTGAAGGAGATGAAAAACAACATTCCCAAAAACTGCCTCTATGAGAAAATCGAAATGAGGGAGAAGGGAATTCTAAAAATAACCTACAGATAAACTTATCAAATGAGAGGGATTCTGACTTAAGGGAAGGGTCTGATCCTTGGCAGCACTCGCACATACATTTAAGTCAGTTAGTTACAGTTATTCACATATCATAAACTTCACAGCCCCATTCGGTGTTTTACTGACTCAAGACCAGAGATATAAAGTTTTATTATTGGGGTTTAATCTTCTCCTACATGATGTCCTGTATCAAGAATACTTCGGTAAAGCATTAATCATAATTGTATTGATTCCTAGCAAATCTCTAGTTGCAGCTCCGCCTCAATCCATTCGCAGTGATACTACGAGCTGACTTTTCTGAGTTTAAAAAGCATGATGTATTTTCTGTGCACAACTTGGATGCAGCAAATAGATGGTATTGCACTTAGCATTGTGTTTAATTACAAAGCCTAATAACTGCAGCTTAATAACACCTGTCACAAACAAGTAGGGAAAGCATAGTTCTTCACCACTCCAAAGAGTAATGTTTTGCACTATGCACTGTAATTAAAGATTATGCATGGTAAAGCTGTAGAATGGAATCAGCAGTCATTTGTAATATACACCAATTATCATCAGAGGGGATTATTCTCTTGCTGCTGAGTGATCCGATTGTTGTGTGTTAGCCATCAGATGAGAACTATTCATCTGGAGGTGTTTCTTGCTAGGTTGCTCTTCAGGCATAGCATTTAAACAGTGGTGTAACAAAATGTTACAGCAGAACATTTGTGTACCATCTGTGTTAAGAGCCCAGTGAAGGTAACTTAAACAGTGCTGCTGAACTGGACTGGTTTTTAGCTTGGAAGCAGTTGGGTGTTTCTTAATTACACAAGTGCTGCTTTGCACCATCCCGAAGTGAGAGTGCTTCACCACACAACAGTGCTTGATGTACAGGTGGCCTGAACTGGCAAGAAATCACCCTTCACCATGTTTGGGGATGCTCCCTAGTAAAAAGAGCCCCAGGACCAACGGGCATCACCACCATGGTGAGGCAGCAGTGCAGACAACATGTGTGAGGCACAGGTAGCCTGTTGGCCTGTGGGCACAGCAGGCATAATCGCTTAAATCTCAGCAGAAGGCTCCTCACTTCTCATGCACACTGAGAGGTACAAGCACTACAGGGACAAGTAGCATCAGGAAAATGATACAGAGATGAGTGCTGGTCCCATGTTTAGACATGCAGACTATGTGTGTGATCCACAGAAGCTGGTGGCAAATGTCCCTGCCCAGCATCTTTAGGCACAGAGCAGAGGGGAGCTGTGCCTGTAGTGCTGGCCCAGCTTCCCCCACTCCCCGTTTTACCCTTTGTGTACAGTTGTATTTCAAGTAAAATAGCACAGAGGCAAGTTAAGGTACATGCAGCTTACCGCACTGGGAGGGAGATTTAAAAAACAGTAGCTCTCACTAGTAACATAGAGTCATTTGCCTGACTCCAAGGAGCATTTTCTGCTGATTTCACTGAGAACAGACAAGAACGGGCAACTGTGAAAGACTACGTAAAACAAACCGGTCCTGTTGCCTTGTAACATGTGGGAACAGCTGCTGTGCTGTCACACAAGGTGTGGGTTCTGCTTTGCCACTTTGTTTCTGCAGAATTGTTCCAGACTTTCACCCGCTCAGATATTTTGGCAAAAATGTCTCATTGTGGAAATACTGGTTCATTTTATTCATTACTAATCACATAAGTGACTCAAAATAGTTTTATTTATACTTTTTCTAGCACTATTATACTGTAATATTTGATAGTAGAATTTCTAATGCCCGTGGGTTTTCTACACCCCTGGGTTAGCATGCCTGAGGATAATTTACTGTGTACATCCTATGTGAGCCTAAATATAAGACTGAAAAAATAAGAATCCTACCTCATGAAAGAGAGCAGGGCAATAAGTCAGTGAGTACAGCTGCTTTGTGAAAAGCCAGGTTTGAATACTAGCTGAAAGCATTACAGACAGGGAGAAGGGACGTGTTCATTACTTTGGGAAGTAGTGCTTGGCGTGCAGAAAAAGAAATGTGATCCAGCCACCTGCTAAGGAGTTCCCCTGGATCAACTGAGCTGCAGTGTGTTGTACCTGGAGATAAGCACAGCAGATTAAACCTCTCAGACTGAACTTCAAGCATTTGCATTTTTTTCTGCATTTTTGAGGAAGGCTGATAGGGAGCAGAGTCGGGTAGGCTGAGTCACAGGATTTGGAGTCAGCTTTGATCCAAATACGTAGAAACAGCAAATCCAAAACATGGGGCAGGAGGGTACCTTTGGTTTGCATTGGGCTACAGGACACCAGTTCTATCAGTGATGGATACAGGGTCTGAAGAAAATCTCTGTAGCACGTGCAGGTTAATGGTTGCCCACAAAACATCCACAGGCCCCATAGGAGCACTGTCATGGTGCAAAGCAGCAATTGCCGTTGCTACTAGAGGGCAAAAGCCAGCGGCTGCCTCTGCATCTCAGGGATGTCACTTCTTATAGGACCTGTTTCTGGGTGATGCCCATCACTTGAATGTTGCAGGAAGAGCTTTAAAGCCTCCACAAAACCTGGGAATTAAACATTTTCAGACAATGATTTAGTTCCAATGGAAAAATATATATATATATACTTGAATTAAAAACTTCCCCAGCCCTTAAAACACAACACCAGCAGCTGAAGATCAGAGTAGTGATGAAGGCCTCCCATTACATGGATGTCCACCCACGTTCAGCAGGAAGTTCTGCAGGGTCCCTCAGTGAGTACTGGTGAATGTAGTCCTTGCAGAGCATTTCATCATGATATGGTGCTCTCTGAGCACAGTGAAGTTCAGGACAACAGTTGCCTCAGCCTTGAGCTTAGAAGAGTCCAAATGGATCTGAAAATATATAGATCACTCTTTGTCTTTGGCATACTTCTAAGTGGCCTTGTGTACATGCCCAGGCTGACCTACAAAATGAATTTCATAGTGCCACTCTGTACCATAAGTCTTGCCTTGATCTTGTGGCTCCAAAGCCTCTAAACCCGTGGCCCTTATAGCACAGAGACAGGTTAACATTTGTGTTTTCTACCATTTCCTGCAGGCCTCCCCAGCTGCTCTAGCAAAAAGCGTTTTGGCTGAAGTTCCAAACCAAGTCGTGGACTATTACAATGGCAAAGGGATAAAACCAAAATGTGTCTCAGAGTACGAGTCTTCCAGGACACTAGCTCCATGAACCTGCCTGCACTCTTTTACAGAATCAAATTAAAAAAAAAAAAAATTAAAAAAAAAGAAATGCTACTGTCTACAACTACTGTACTTAAAAATGAAACAAACAAAAAGAATAGCACGTTTTGGTGATTTTTAACTAAAATAACCTTCTTTTTTTTGTTTGTTCGGGTTGTTTTTTTTTTTGCATGTGTAGCCCAAAGGCTTAAATCTGTGTTATTGTTGAAACCTTTTTATGAGGAAAAAAAGTCCAGAAAAAAAGAGTGAACTCTTTCCATTACAGCATGTCTCCTTGAAATAAAAAGTTATCTGTATCTGTTTTTTATACAGGTTTGTTGAAATTTTGCTAAATTTCTTATCTTTACACTATAAAGCATTTTGAAATATTTATTGAGAGTCGATAGCCAAAATGTATTTGGTTTAATCTGCTATGAACTGAGAGATTTTTCAAAATGGCAGATGCATGAACTGTATTTTGCATGTTTAAAATAAAAACAACACAGTTTTGCAGTTGTTGTCTTTATTTCTCTCTCTGCCACAACGTCTTCATTTCTCTCGCTGCCTGCTTTCAACTTCTGTATTCCAACAAAGGGGTAATCAATTATTTCAAGAGATATCTAGTCCTGAGCATGGGCACTTCTACCATTACCAGTCTGTAATATGGGTACCCAAACATTCCCACTCAGTCTGTGGCCTGAGCAGAGACACAACGCTCACACAGAGCGTTCAGACCATAGCTGTGAACACATCTGGCTTGGAGGGCATCATGCATCAGGACTGCATGAAAAAAATATGCCCACGTAATCCAAACGATCTGGCTGGCTTTCCAGTGTGTTGGTTTTGGCTACCCAGATTTAGAACCTATGATGTTTGGGAATTCTTGTTTTGTTTCATTTTTGTTTTGTTTTGCTTTGTTTTTAATCTTGCACCCAGTATCCAACTTCGTGTGACACATTTTCTAAAAGAAATTTTGCATGGCCCGATTTTGTGGCAACTGAAAATTGATACTTGTCACACACAGCTGTTGTGTGCGATAGAAGAACTGATTTCATATCAAAAAAATACATAAGAGAACAAACAAGAACACATTAGCAGTGGATTGATTTTTTCTATTGGAATATTAAAACATATTCACCAATGAAGAAATTAGATCAGTGTTATTCTTAGTGTTTGAATTTTGGCTTCTTCATTTGCTAGAAGACAATAGAGAAATACGTAACTTGCTCAAAGTTAAGGATGATGTTTGACCAAAAATAACTTTGTGTGGGACTGTCCAAAGGGCATAGCATTGGATGAGCAGTGCTCCCACTGAAGTGAATACATTTGTGTTGTGAGTCCCAGAAGAAGCCATTTGGGGCCAGTGTTGAATATTCTGGGAAATCTCACCTGTAAGCAGGCTTCTTTGGTTTTAGACACACATATTTTTCAGTTTGCAGGTAATGTAGAACTGTAATTCCTTTGTTCTCATTTAGAAGTAAACTTCCATGAGATCGGCTTTGATTGATTTTGTACCATAAAATGAAGGCCACAGGATAGCCAAGACATAGGGCTGACTTCCCAGCACATTCAGTTCTGCTCCATCCCACAGAGCAACCTCTCACACTTCCTAATGAAGATTTCTTCAAGTGATCAGGTATTGAACAGCAGCCAGTTTTACGTGGTAAAATGTATAAACTGTGTGAAGATGACCCAACTGATAGATCTCAAATCAGAGCTGCTCCACCAAGTTATCTAAGACACCTGTAGCTTCATATTCCTATTTCCCCCTCTTTTCCTTCCCACTTCTCAGAAGGAGTATTTCTCCACTGTTAAAGCACACGGCTGAAAAATCAATGGATCAATGTTCTTTGCTCCTCTATGATATTATTTTGTAATCTTGGGAACACTGTTTAATTTTTCTGTGCCTCAGATTCCTCGTCTGCAAAATGAAGATCACTGCTGTGAATTCACAAACATCTCATAATGGTACTGGGGGATTTTTGTATTTGAAATGTGTTTTGAGATCCTCAGAGCCATGATGGTGCTCTTGTAACATTAAAAATATGACTTTACCTGGCCACGGACTCAGAGATGCAAATGGCAGCTGAAGAGGGGCCAGCCTTTTTCTTTATTGTTTGCCACACTGAAGGAAAGGAAAACAAGTTTCCAGCAAGAAAATACAGAAATAAGATAAACAGTTCTGGCACATATGATCCCTCACTAAATGATTTATGGAGTGTTCACAGTTGCATGGAATCGAGGATTTACAGCTTGTCCTTAGCAAAGGTGTTACAAGGAGCATCTATAATGCAGCATCACACGTGGTTTAGGTGGTTACTGTATGCTGAGCTATGTAACTCACCAGGCATAACTCACCAGTCATCTTCATGTATGTACTTGGTCTACCTAAGTGTCTGAAGACAATCATAGCTGCTACACATCTTTCTGTTTACTTCACATGATCCAGATCAGAATGCTGTCAAAACCAAAACATCACCAGTGGGGACAGATCTGCAGTTGTGCACCAGCCCCCAAGGTATTTGAAAGAACACCTTCATGGTATTGAAAGCTCAGTTGGAAATCTCCCTCCATCTACTCGAATTCCAGCAAATAAGCGTGCATAATAATGATGGAATCACAGAATGGTTTGGGTTGGAAGGGACCTTAAAGCTCACTCAGATCCAGCCCCCTGCTGTGGGCAGGGCTGCCACCCACTGGATCAGGCTGCCCAGGGCCCGATCCAACCCAACCTTCAGAATCTCCAGGGATTTCCTGGAAAAGAAATGAAGAAATGAAAGAATTTTCAGTGTCCCAGCTGATACAGTGCAATATGATGGTATTGGCTTTGTGCAGAGTAGTATCATTAAATATATGAATATATCAGTGAAATGATACTTAGGGTTTAGCAAGGCCCTTCTGCCCTTAGGCTAAGCTGCTGTCATTTCTCTTGTAGATATTAAATTTCTACTGGTTTTATGGATCATTTTAAATTCTGAAAACTACTTTATTATAAATTATATCTTGCCCCTTCGAGGTAATTGATAGTCTTCACTGCCTACTGTAATTCTGCATCCATTCCTATTGCCTCTTCAATCCAATACCCAGAAGTCCCAGAATATTCAAGGTATTCATCATCCCTATTAGCCCAGAAATATATTAATTTCTCTAATTCTTGAGCTAGAAATGGAGATGAGTTATATTTTTAGTTATGTAGGGTAAACTAAATCTACTAATGAAAAAATTGCTAATACACTGCTAATTGCTTACTTATGTAAGGTAAAAATCTACCTGTAAAACCCTCACTGTAATCAGCAATATTGTGTTATACAGCATTTGATGAAAGAGTCCACAGGCATGTAAGAAAATGAAATGACAATAATTGTGCCTCTTTAAAACATCTTCTAATTTAATTTGCAAATATAAAGGCACACAGCTGATGACAGCTGAGAGGTTCCAAGTTTCATCACTTTGAGTCATTCTGAGTGCAGGGGAGATCACTGGTCCTACCTAAGGCTTGCTTTAGGTCACAGAGATGATATGGCAACAAGTGCTCAGGTGGAAGGCCCCTGACTCCTAGCAGATGTACCTGATAGCTCTGCAGATCTCCATCACTCACCTGCATCCCTTGGGTATATGTACATGGGGTACTGGGATGAAAGGGTATCCAGCTCACTGAGCCTTACTACGATATTGCAGTAAGATGTTTGCTGACAAGACAAAACAGAGCTGCCTCCTTCAGCACGGCTCCCCAGCCACACAAGTTTACACCGGAAGGAACCTGACTGGTTGTTCAGAGTGAACTTTCTCACCTGACATTATAAGACTTGCAGTCACCCTGCAAGATCCCCAAAACATACAAGTGAAATCTAGCTGCCTTCTCCCTTGTGAAGATTGCAGGTTCAAAAGTATTGCTTTCATTCATAGAATCACTGAATCATGAAGGCTGGAAAAGATGTATAAGATCACCTAGTCCAACAGGCAGTCTACCCTCGCCATGCCCACTGACCACGTCCCTCAGTGCCACATCCACACGGTTCTTGAGCACTTCCAAGGACGGTGACTGCACCACCTCCCTGAGCAGCCTGTTTTGCTCTCTCTGAGAAGAATTTCTTCCTAATACCCAACCTGAACATCCCCTGATGCAACTTGAGCCATTGCCTTTCATCCTATCACTGGTACCTGGGAGAAGAAGCTGATCCCCACCTCACCACACCTCCTTTCAGGCAGCTGTAGAGAGCAATCAGGTCTCCCCTGAGCCTCCCCTTCTCCAGACTGAACAATCCCAGCTCCCTCATCCCACAGTTCAGGCCCCAGCACTTGGTCATGTTAATCCCCGATCATGCATTTTTATGGACTACTCAAGGCAGCAGGCAGTTATTTTGCAATAGGCCTTGTTTCTTTCCTTTCCTTCTCCAAAAAACTGCTAACCATTAATACAGCCGTGCAAATATGTTTCACTGCTGTGAAACAGGCAGTTCTTGTCCCATGGATTCCTGGGTATACAGTTTGCAATCTGACTGCTGCAGCCCCTCACCGAAGCACCAAGCTGCAGTAGCAACGCTGGCTGGTGCCCAGACAGCCCTCTTCTCTGGCTGTAGGCAGGCCCCATGACGGACGCATCACTTCATCCTGCTGGGTGCCTTGGCTCCGCATCTGTGAAATGGGGATAAGTGGCATCGCACTACTTGCCGCACGGTGTTCAGAAGTTGGGAATTACCAAGTTGGGATCCGTGCTTCCCCATGCACAGCAGTCCTGTGAGGGTAGGGATCCCGGGACACGTTACCTCACAGAAGCGCGGGAGGTGAACGTGAGGCCGAGGCACACGTGTGGAAGCTGCGGGCAGCTTTGTGAACATTCAGGCATCGACACACACACCCGTCCCACAGAGCGGCAAACAAAACGGAAGAAAACAAAACGCAGAAGCAGAGGGTGACTTCGGCCGCCCGCACTGCTTTATTGCGCCTTCCCGCTACTCGCAGCCTCACACCGGCTCCGCCACACCCCGCGGCGCCACACGGATCGCCCCGCTCCTCCCGGCGGAACGTTCTTCCCGCGCCGCACGGAACAGTTCCGCGTCGGACCGGGCGGTGCTGCGCTTCCGCCGGCGGTGG